ACGTTGTCGTTTTGAACTTTCTTCTGAGGACTCCGACTCGATAGCACTTCTCTTCCCCGAAGCATTCAATGTCACAACACTTGTTTCCGCATTGCGCAAAGTATCCGACATGGCTGTCATCTGAGGTGATTTACCATCAAGGCCCAATCCTGTAGCTCTTAATTGTTGTTGCCTTTTCCAATCCCTCAATCGTTTTCGTTCCAACAATGGTAAGCCCCATCCACACTTGGTACATTTTCTATCAATGTGCTGTTCACACATTTTGTGCCAAACAACATCATCATCCGCCATGATTCGCCATTGTCTACTGACTTGAGCAGCCTTGCATAATGAAGTTGTATCGAGATAACAGAGGATTTTAAAGGAGATTTCGGAAGGTAGAGCTGTAATGAAGTCGATTCGAATGAGGTTCTTGACAGCGGAGGAGAGGTAGGATAATTGTGGAAAGCAGCATTGCGATAAGATGCCCTGAAGCATGAGGTTTCGATGTTTCGATGGCGCAGCAGAGAAGAGTGTCCAAACATGAGAGATGCCTTGTTGATCTGATTGCGACAAGGTCTCAAGCTCCTATAATCATGTCAGTAGATGTACGGGAACTGTGAGAGGGGTGGGGTGCGAGGGGTAGATTGTGTGACGCACTCTTTGTAGGTTCTCCATTGTAGGTTCATCTGCGGTTCTTCGACATTTCGAGTCCGGTCGATGTCGATAACAGTATTTTGTATTTGGATCTTTCCGTGAGGTTGATGTAGTTTGTGGGGGTCCAAAAGGAGCGTATTGTTCTGGGATGTGTTTCGCCAGGAAAGGCGCCACTGTTTGGCCTGCCAGTTTACTCGTCGACGAGATAGTGATTGTAGGATCTGAATGATCGTGATCGGCTCTGCAATTATCTTCCATTGAAAGAGGTACAATGGATTCAACTATATCCGTATCAAGGTTTTCGCGATTCGATTGTTCTTTTGTTGCTAAACACAATTCTCGAATGTCTCCTGTTGAAGTATTCTTTCTTGACCGCTCCAGATCCAATTCGACGTTATGGCGCAATGCTGAAGACTCGTCATGATTTGACGCCATAGTGACCATGTTATGGTGAAATATTAAGGAATGGTGGAGAGATCCAGTAGTATTGCGAAATAGGTTGGTGTGAAGACCAGGGCAAGTAAGATAAGGTAATGAGTGTCTCGAACGCGCCAGATGTTGAAGTAAGGGTCGATAATTATGTAAAGTTTCTTTTTCAAGTGCAACCATCAATGATATTTTTCTTTTCCTCTGTTTGCTGAGTTGTCTCTCTCGTCTTCTGTTGTTTGCGTAATCACCAGTCCAATTAATAGAGGGTCGCTGAGTAGCTAAGGTTATTAGCCGGGTTGGTGGTATGGTGGGCGAAGTTGAGGTCAATTTTTTGGCTTATTGCGTGCTTCGGTGTTGTTTTGACCAGGGGACCAAAGATTTTTAGTGTGAGATTACCCAGGTGGGGTGGGTAGGTAGGTGGGTGGGTAGGTAGGTGGGTGGGTAGATGGGTAGATAGGTAGGTAGGTAGGTAGATAGGTCACTAGGTGTGATATTTGAGTATTTTGATACTTGACAAGAAAATCTGGGGGGTAGAAGAGCACTACGCTGTATACGACTTGTGGATGTAGGTAAGTATCTGTCGGTACTTCTTTTGACACAATGTTGGTTTCTGGGGTAATAATCCTGATGTAGTGTTGTAGTGTTGTACTGTTGTTTCAATCTTCTCTCATTTCAATCTTCTCTCATTTCAATCCTCCATCTTCACTTGTCTTTCTTTCCCTCCTTCACTTCCAAGAGGCGACACATAAATCTAAAAATGGCGTGCGATTGATGAATGCCTCAGGTTTCAATATCACGCGATAGAAATTAAAAATTCATCATGTTTTCATAGAGAAGTTTGAAAAATTATGTAAATTTTACTCCCAAATTTGAAGAGAATTTGCCAGCGAAAGAATTTGTCATTGAGATTTAAATCAATCCAGAAACGTTTACAAATCGCTTCTTAGTTTTTAATCACATTCGCCCTTCAGATTCCCTTTCGAGATGTTGAAAGAATCTATTGAGGTCTTAACTCCTATTATGTCTTTCGCCTCTATCTCTCACCTGCAGTCAATGTTCAACGCAGCGAATGAGACCCTGAATCTAATGCTGCTTTTATCAATTATTCTCCTTCCTTCCTTCCTTCCTTCCTTAATTGTGTTGCCCCGTCATTCAAAGATAATTCTCCTCTCTCCGTATCTCCTTTTGGATGATCTTGATCACACAATTCATAAAGTTACTGTACCATTGGGTGGTAACATTGAATAACCATTTCCCATCGAGAGCTGAGACCTGAGACCTGAGACCTGAGAGCTGAATCCTCAGAAATTCCCCGAGACCTCCAAGAAACTCCCAAGAAACATCATCTCATCTCACTGCTCCATCTTGATATTTGAAAGAACCTCACCAATTGCTAAATGCTTCGACATGCAGTCAATCTTCGTCAATATGCGCCACGTGGCTTAGATCTAACCGAACCCCATATTAGTTTCAAGTGAAGCCCAGGAATTGGGTAGCTGAGGCTGCTGAGCTAAGATCCAATACTGCAAACAGATACGAGCTCATACGAGGGAACTTTTATCATTTCACGAGTCAATATCAATGTCAGTTGTACGGTCGACACAGCACTCTGTACACAGCAGGCTAATCAGATTAAAACATCTGCTTGCAGTCGGAAGTTACAATCAATACCCCTTCGCAACCATGAATTTGTATTTAACCAATTCTAGTTACGTTATTCATCCATGATGCCTATGTTTCTCAGGTCTTTCATTGGATATTTTACGCACATCTTACAATCAACAAGTAGATGTGTTGCTTTCGTCTGATCGAGTTCAGATACATGTTACTTTCGTTTAGGCCTCACTTTACAAATGTCGGGTATGCTTTTCGGAAGGGTAAGTTGGGAGGAAATATTGGTACGAATCTCGTTCACGTTACATTTGTCTGAGTTGGATTCTACACTTACTTACCTACTTACACTTAAAAACATATCATTATTAAAGCATAAAGAGAACGAAAGGATACAAACAGCATAATCATCCAAATGTGAATATCACATCATTCATTATACCTCCCAAGACACGACACAATATATTCCCAAGACACTACACCAACCAGCAACGGAGGTATATTACTCATTCAGCCCCACCAACCACCCACCCCAGATTTTTGACATCGCAGGTGTCGACCCTCAAATCTTAGATGTGCAACAAAAACTTTTACATCAGGTGACCAGCATGACCTAATGATTTAATTGGTTGGACACAATAATATTTTGGACTATAAGGTCATCGGAGAACAATGGATTGTGAAATGAAATGAAATGTAGTGTAGGATTAGGTATCTGTCTAAAGGAAGGTGGTAGTGTGTACTGGATGTGAAACTTTTATCGATGAGTGTAAATAAATGAGTTAGACAGGTACCGCGCTCAATGGAAAATAGATTAACTCATTGCTATACCCCTGGGAGGGAGGTTACTAAAGTGGAAGAGAAGACAGACAATCATTAGAGAAATGGAGGGAGTAAAGAAAGGGGGTAAAGAGAGTATTAAGAAAATACTGTATAGGAAAGCAAGAATTAAATTCACGCAATATTCATTCAGAGAGGGAGAGATAAAAATCACAAAAGAGGAGTTGAAGGGATGCGGAAAACGAACGCATGCAAGAGTATCCTGGAAGAAAAGAAACAAACGTGCGCAGAATCAAAATAAAGAAAGGTTGGAGATGTGTAATTGAAAGTAAACCCTACTAGATACATGTGCTATGTGGTAATACATCCATGTACTTCCTATCTGGTATGGTATCACATGATATGGTATTTTTCGGTTAGGTATAAGGAGGGCTAGGAAGTCTTCAGTGGGTGTTTGAGGAGGAAGTAAAGACCGTCTAAAAATTGATTATGTATGATGTAGATTTTCTTCTATCAATTAAGCAATCCACGGAGCGAGTGGAAATAGTCCACGGATCTATCAATCGAGTATCTTGATCGACGTTGTATAGAATGTGTCGAGTGGCCATTGCTACATAGATCTAGCGACTGAGATTCTCAACTCAGGAGGAAAGAAAAAAGATGTACAGTTTTCTGCTGCGGGTAGAATCTTAGACTGTGACACATTGAAGATTGATTCGTGATTTATTGAATTGGTATATAGTAGGTGTTCCTAGCTTTTAAATCGAGGGATACGACTAGATCAAATCTACACGAGTGTTCAAAATAATCAGACGCTCAGCTCGGTGAGCTTGGAAGGAGGATCAAAAAGAAGGTAGAGAGTACTACTGTGCTAATAGGTTCTGGATTGCTTGGGATTTGAATGGTAGGATAGGATCAGATAAATCGGCTATGTTGTACTCGATCAAGCTTTTAATGGTGGAAGGGGAGTCAAGTGTCTGATCGAAGATTTTCGTAGTATAGGCTCTGGAAATTATAGAACTATGGTTACAATAAATAACGCATGATATCCCCGGATTACTTGACTGATTTTGCTGCAGCCTCCCTATCAAGCTGGCAGTTCTGCAAGACACGGTAGCATCTTCATGCTTGTCTCTCTGTTCGATCCACATGATTGTCACATACGACCACATTTGCACGGAAAAGACCTCTATGAGATGAGGTGAGATTTATCATTCATAAACTAAACTAAAATAAAACGGCCTAAACAATCAAATGCTATTACTGGAAATCTGAAGACAACGACATATCCATGTCATATGTATCCACTATTCCAGAATCGCCAACAAGTAGTTGCCTAGTTCCGCCAGGTAACAATCGATGCACTATGCCAAATTTGACGTCACTCTTAAAGAGTAGTCATTACTTTGACGGTAAGGAAAAGAAGTGAAAGTTTTCGAAGCAGTGATGATACTGCATCGACATCAAAGCCCTGATAAATAGGACCGGTAACACGAATCCTGTCTTAGCCCTCAATAATAACCCAAATAGAATCCTCCATGCCTTCAATATTCTCCGTAAAAAGGCCGGCCCTTAACCAACTTCAACATCGCATCAACCACCTCCCTAACCTTGACCTTATGCTCCTTTGTTTGCACATCAACCAACTTCAACATCTCAAAACCATCTCTCATACCCACTCTATTCTTGTCTTCGCCCAAGCCACGCGATCTCTTATATGCCATTGCTTCCGGTTGCGCCTCGACCCAATTTCTCAACATCCAAGTTTTATAAGTCAACCAGACACGATAATGACGGCTGTATTCCTCCTTGTCATTAAGCCAATGGTATTCTCTATCCATATGACAATCAGACTTCCACTTAAAAATGGTATGTTTGAGAAAGCGAACGGTGGCAGGATACCATTCCGCGCCCATCCTGAACGGATTCGGAACAAACCAATTCAGACCTGCAGGACTTCCAAAACTTCCACGACCGTGCGAATGAATATTATGATAGATGCAATAGAATTCCTGGAAGAAGTTTCGTTGATACCCCGCTCTTCGTGTTGCGAGTCTTTTATCTTTCTCGCCTCCTACATCGGGATATTCGGCAATACTGACAAACATATCAATGCCCACGGTGGAAACGATTTCCATTGTGTCTTCCAGCCTCATATCAAAGGGTAGAGGACGGTATGTGGGAAGCATCCACTTGATCAGGAGGTCGCCGAGTCTGTAGGGGCAGTCGAATTTTTTGGGGTTGTATGTTTTAGGGGCTTGAACGAGCAGAGAGACTTTGGCACTGTGGATTGAGCGGAAGATTTTCCAGTGGGGTTTACAGGTTAGGGCAAAGCAGACGGCGGTGCAGAAGTCGCTTTCGAAGGTTTGGTGCTCGGGGATGAGAGATCGGAAGATGAGACGGATGATTTCGGTGGGGAAATCAAACTTGGCGGCTAGAAATAGGGAGGATGTTAGCTGCAATTCTTTTGTATTGAGAGTTAACAGTGAAACAAGTTGAGGTTGAAAGGTTAAGATGGAAGATTGATATGGTATAGATGAAGTGGTTCTCCAGATGAGTGAACGCTGGATAATGAGGAGAGAGCACAAAGGATGAATGAGAAGATGGCCTAGTATATTCTTCAACAAGAGTAACCATTACCCTCTAGGAAACCATGTTACGGTCCATACTTTAATGTTCAAGACTGAAGATAAAATGACACCGAAGATTTTGAAAGTATAACAATACAAGTAGCTGAAGTGATTGTGGAGCTGAAAAGAAAAATGCAAAATGAAAACTTAGTAAAAGCTATGAAATGATGAATCCCAACCTCTTCTCTTAGCAGTATTATATCTCTTCTTACGAGCAGGTTTAGAGCCTGTTTCATCTTTCTCCGACTTTGTCTTTTCAGCTGGTCTCTTCTTATATGTCCTCGCATCTGCGAAATATTAGTAAAGCTTCAGTCAAAGTAACCCACATTTAAGCAAAAGAAGATAGAAGTGGAAGAAAGAAGAGAAGAGCAGCATTCACGTACAATTGGCTTCGCTTGTGCCATAGCTGGAGGTATTTTTAATGATGTCAAGGGCCTGTCCTGATATCATCTTACGATGGCGCATTACTTGTTCGTGGTCAATTTCAGCTCCACCCTCTTGGTTGACGCTTGCAAGAAGTGGACCTTGAGCTTGAAAGATCAATTGGTTGGTAGGTGCAGTGCGATCATCCTTTGCAGAAGCGAAGTCAAGAGATAGGTCATTGTGGGCCGCAGCGGCGTTGGCTGTGGTCGATGCCGCAGTTTGCGAGACAGAGTTGTCCAAATTGGGTTGCGTTAACTTCGAAGATTTGAAATACTTTAACTTTGGAGGAGGGCGACGCTTAGGAGGCATCTTGATCCGTAGAAATTGTATTTGTGCTGAAGGGATTTTCTTTTTGCGTGTATCGAAGGTGGAAGTAATCGAAGTCGAAGGGAAGGACTGAGAGTTCCTTGTGGTGTGGTGCAGGGCTGGACCTTTGGGCGGCGGGGAACCGCGGAATGCCTCAAATGATTGAAGGGCTGGGTGGTTCCAAAATCAAGATTACCAACAGATGCTGGCCTGGCTACATCTGCCAATGGTTAGTGGGGATCTTACCGACAGTTCGCTTAATTCGCTCTCATTGGTTTATCTAAATCTCTACATTTACGCCTAAACGTGATCTAAATAATAGAAATGGGTAGTAAAATGATTGCTGATTGGTCCTTTTCATTTTATAGATCACATTAGTCGGTTCACGTTAAATTGTAACGCCAGCCATGCATTCAAATTAGGTCATGTCATTATTACCCCACAGAATGAAGAAAGCACTTTAAGATTTCATGACTTTGATAGCCAGAGAGAAAATACATGTAAGTCTCACAAGTCAGAAAGTTGACTTCGATATGTGAAAGTATCAGTTGAATTAGATAAGATACTATGAGTGTGCAAAATGCAATGCAAATGCCCTTGATAGTAGAAGTCGACGAATGAAATCTTAAACGTAGGTGATAGTCTTACATTCCATGCTAATTGTGATTCCCTCAGCTATCAATACTCTGCAGTCTTCTTCCCCAATGCTGTGAGTAGATGTATAGTAGAATCGGGTCTGGTCTAGTAGCCGAATATCACCAATACAGCCATCCATACATCACCTAGTCCAAACGGGCGTGGGATCCTGCTCCCCAATGCTTGAGAATATATGAATTGACGAAATCGTTCCTCAATAATTTTTTCTTGGATACTTTCTCCATATACAACACAAGATAGATAGTAAGGGATGATCAAAGAAGTTGGAGGACGATATTTGGGGCCCATCCACTCCCTAAATAGCATGAGTTGCTCCCTTTGAGATGGTTTAAGACGCCGCTTGACAACTATCTCATCTTCCATGCAACTGGGGTAACGACTGTTAGAGAGACCTGGTGCTAAAGTGTATTCATCCGTAATACTTTCCTCATCGACAGAGTTTGACCCAGCTTGCTCATAATATGGATTAAACAATGGGATTTTGTCGTATTTGAAATCGATAATACTGGGAATCTGGTCCATATGTTCTTTGAGGTAGCTTGTATGGTCCAGATTACGAAGTATTGCCCAATTTCTGCGGGAAGTCAAGCCGAAACAAAGGGCTGAGCAGATATCAGGGAATTCTTGTTCAAGAAGATTGTTCAATATCTTATCGATAATTTCGGTTGGTGCGCTTTCAACAATGGATGCTTCTGCTGTAGCAGATTCTTGTATCTGGGCTTTTGCTGTAACTGTTGAGCCATTACTCGATCCTATGTTGAGCGACTCGCATTAGCATTGTTTCAGAAAGCTACGTTTGATCTTACCTTCTTCATCAACAACTGCTTCTTCCGGAACAAGATTGCTTTCCAGTTGATTATTTGATAGTCTTGACGTATCTTTCTGGCGAAAGTCCCGATAGGTTGAGGTATAGAAATGAATAATTTGAGCTCGGTATACCGAAACTGAATGAAATTTGTTAGTTTTATTGACAAGGAGAAGAGTCAAAAGTTACAACTTGAAGAAATTCAAGGACTTTACCTATAGGCACCCGTCTCCAGGGCGGAGTGCTGCTGCGAGGGATAAAAGTATTCATAATTCTTAATCGTGTGTTCTGAGTAGGTACTTGTTGACAGGCTAGGAAAAAGAGTCGATGGGAATCGATGGATCTGCATCAAAGAAAAACATTCAAGGTCCCGGTGGCTTGAGACTTTATCACCTTTTTATATATCACATCGCTTCACAATCAAGCCCACAAATGTCTTCGGGTGGCCTCGGCTCAAAGAGTTCCCCCCTTATTGCCGAGATAATCCCCGGATGCTCATAAATGTATTCAGTTCCTCGAAGTGAATGTTGGATTAAAGATGAAAGCGATTTTTGGAATGGAAGGACTTTCAATGTCCACATGGTACCTAAGCCCTTTCATTCAATTGTACCCGAAAAGGGTTAGGAAGTAGGCAGAATAATGATTATCTCTGCATCCTGCTTCATCTCTTTAGCCCTGTATCAGCAACACTCGACATCGCCCATTTACAATAGTCGGAAGAAAGATCAACAGGATGACCTCTTCAAATGGACAGGGAGCTGAGCCAGGCAATACTCCAGAGAATCAGTGGGAATATGATATCGTATCAACAGCGCATCCCAGAGTTCAGTCCCGCATTGAAAAATGGCTTAGAAAAATCGAGGACCAGCAACTACAAAAGATCGAAAGTAAGCTATAGTATTATTTAAATAAGATGATCAGCTCAGTCACAATACTGCAGTCTCATAGTAGACCTTTTACTAACTCATGTATCTGTAGATCCTCGGATTCCCGTCGAAATCATCTTCCAAATTATCGAATTACTTCTAAACGATCACGACGAATGTACGGCAGTCTGTGTCGCTATTACAGGCCGTGCTTACTATCGATTCTTCCGCTCAGTTCACCCAGAACATGTACTACTCATTTCAAGACCACCATACCCTTACAGCCCAAAGGGGTTCCCGCCTAGTCTCGCAAAACTTCTCCACGAATCGTTGGTTCCAAATTACCGATTCTCGAAGCGACTCCATCAATACCTTCTTTGCTCCGTCTATGGGGATGAAGCCGGTAGTGACAAAGAGTGGGATTTGATCCAGCAAACTAGAGACTATCGTAGCATCAAATCAAGACAAGGACATACAGTCGGAAAACTAATCTTGCCAAATCCATTCGGAATGGGAACCGATTGGTATCTTGCAGCAGTTCGCCAGTTTGTCAAGCACGTTGAAGAAGCAGTTCCAGATCTATCCACCGTCGGTAGCAACCTAATGCAATATGTACCCGTCGTAATGCCCGGGATCTCGGTGATTGGGCTAACAATGAGTACATTCACATCGACGGGACTTCCAGTTCGTTTAGTCAACATGGCTTCATTACCAGATACGATACCATGGCTGCATGGAATACCATACCCAGCAGTAACTTCGACTGGACACATTATCCCTGGACAAACGATGCTCGGTCAAACCCCCAACCAAGATCAACTCCGAGAGAACCTGAGGATGACGAATCTCGCGGTCAAAGACCAATATGCAAGAGTCACAGCAATGCGAAAGACTCACCTTTGGCATTTGATGGGAAAGTACATTAATACGCGGATTCTGGATTATGATTCAAATGGTAATGTTCTGGAAAAAACTAGGCGTATGTGTTTTTGGGAGGCAATAGTTCACGCTTCGAAACAAGATTGGGAACAGTTTTTTCTTCTTTTGGCCGACGGGGTTGAGATTACTAAAAGCAATGAATTAGCTGGGTTGTGAGCTTAGATAACATGGTGGCGATATATGGAAAGAAGCTTTTCTTCGGTCTTTGAAGTGGCTGTATACCACTCTCCGGATTTGTATTCGCAGGCTAGTTCTACAGGAGAGATTGGCTTGATTTAGGGAAATGGATGGGATTTTCAGACTATTTTGCAGAGGTCAGCACGGAGTTCAGCGTGGTTGGGCATACTCGAAGAGTGAAAGGATCTAGTTAGAATTGGGAAAATTCGAGATAGGCATTAGCAATGAACTATAGTTTCAGCAAGCATGCAGTAAATATTCTAGTCTAACTCAGCTGCTTGCTCGCAATCAGTGATTCTCCGTTTGTAGTTCTAGAGCCGTCGAACAAACTATTCTCTCAGATCTACTTGACTGATCTCCATTAATGAACTCCAGCTTCGAAAACAAATTGACTTTGTAAGATATCAAAGTGTAGCAGGTCTAATAATTCTATGTTTGCGATTGTGAGTTTCAGAATACCATAAACTCAAATATATAATCACTCACGAGCTATGGCGATAGTTCCATTCAACATAATAGTCGGCTCTTCAAGCGGCGACTATCATGTGGTTATTGTGTATACAAATTCCCAGGCAGGAAACTCGTGGTAACGATATGGCAGTACAAACTTTGATCAAGTGAATTCTCTCCCTACTGCCCAAATTTCAACCTCGGGAAAAAGTACTAGATACGTCGCGCGGAACATTCCATACGGCATTGACTTTAATAGAACTCTACTCAAAGATCTCGACCCTCCACATAGTCTTCTCACTATCCACACCAATTTCTTGTTCCTCTTCAATAAGAGCAAAATTTACAATACGCCGCAGAAGTCGATCAATCTTCGATACTTGCAGATACTCTTCGAAACAGGATAGGAACTAATTAAAAATCTCAAAACGCACAATGGTCTGGAAATACCGCCCTAAGCCCAAAAAGCAGAACCAAGACATTGTGTATAAATCACCGGAGACTGATTTGGTTGCGATTTCCAGTAAGTCAACTCTATTCCTTGAGACAAACACTTTCTGCCAAGATCATTTCATATAGACACTACCGAGTTGTATCAAAAGCTAACATGATTACCCCAAGATACAGTTCCTCCAACCAAGAAGAGCGAATTTGAAGGTTTCCCACTCGACATTATAAACATATTCTTCGATACACTTCTCGAGCGAGATGAACTGACCGCCATCATTTGTCTTGCCCTTATATGTCGAACCTGCTGGAGTCTCTTCCAAGGCAAACCGTGGAAGAAATATGTTAAATTCGGTAACGAAAATGGATGCTTCTATGAACCATGTTTTATCAAATTGATTGAAAGCTGGATTGGCCCAGGCTACCGTCGTATTGGCCCTGATAGTCGGGATATTGAAACATATTTTCTATCGCGCGCTGTGTATGGAGATTTTCCAGGTGCGGAGGAAAAGAATCTGAAGGGTAGATGGCAAGACTACAGGGCGTTGTATCTTCGGGATGAAGAGACGTATCACTTAACTTATCTTGTTCCCAAACCTTTCGGTGTGAGCGCAGATAACTGGTTTCCTCTCGCTGCACGGCAGTTGAAGAATGAAGTTTTGAGCTGGGACTCTTGGACTCGTACGAGGGCAAGACTAGCTGCGTCTTATCGTCTTTCAAACTTGTACCGGTGGTTACTTGCCAACGGTGGTCGGGAATGGCTTCTTTCTAATAGAACGTTCCAGAAAACTGAGATTTGCAACAATAATTCGATGGCGGTATTGATTCATTTCCCGGATGAAGGCCAATCTTGGCGTATGGAGCCCAAGAGATCTAAGCCAACTGGAAAAGGAACAAATGCGCGGAAGCTCAGGGGAGCTGGCAGATGGTATTCTCCACTGTTCATATTGAAAAGCTACGGAGCATCTGGGGGTTACTAGTCCAACAACGTATGAGAAGAAATCACGGTAACTCAATCGATTCCAATATTGACCTTACTCGAGGAAAAATATTCCCAATGTGAATTAAATTCTTGATGATACTGTCCCTAACTTTCACATGAGGTAAGTATCCACTGGATCTGTGCCACTTTGCTAAAACCTTGAGCGATGTAGCATAATATCCCATTCATCGCCTCATTTCATCGATCTAGAGACTTTATCATGAGCTCAGCTGAGAAAAAGTCTTATGTAGTTATAAGATAATGGTCAGCGTATCGTAGCTACAGATAGGCCGAATCGATCCAGGAGTCACTACTACTACCTAGTTACATGGTTCAGAATCCGAACAATTCAAGGACAACTTTCCCCTGCAGACTCCAATTCCAGTGAAACCAATCTTCAAAAAAGATACATAAAATCCATCAAATCATCAATTCTTTCTTTCCAGCACTGCTGAATGACAGACATGTGACTCTCGTTTCATCTCCAGGGGTATTTAGCGCGCGACAGAAGAACATGGGCTTCACAACCCCGCATTGAATATCTGACTAGATAGCTTCGCGTCTTTCAGTCGTCCATCAACTAGATGTGAAGTCTTGCGTAGTTCGATGACGACTATTTTCTCAAATTATGCTTGGACATTGGCTTTGGTACAAATGCTTTCTTTTGATGAACTTTCCTCAATCTCACGCCGGAAAGTGGCAGTCTTGTTCTTGTAAATTAAATTTCCATAAGAAAGAATGCAACTCAACTGCGTCCATCATCTTCTCCGAGAATCTTTTACGTCGTAGTAATTGTCTGAAGGTCTAAGGCAGTAAGACACATGCAATGTCTGTGTGAAAAGGCAAAGAGAGCGACAGCTGCGAGACAGTCTCGCTGGAGAAGAGTCGCCGATCGACTGATTTATAGTGCGCAAAGAAGCCCCATGGGACGCAGGATCAATTGAATCAAAGACACGAACATCAAGAACGGATTTCTCTCGACTTGCTCAAACATAACAATTGTAGGGGACCGGCCGAATTGGATGATGAAAAGGTAAGCAGATGGACAGCATTGATGTTCTGATCAAGACCATCTATCTGTCTGTGCTACTGTTAGGTTTTGATTGCATGTAAGTCTTATTACATGCAGTCAATCCTCCAGGAAAGTTCACCGGGTATCGTTTACTTTAATACATCGAAAGAGAGCGGTCAAATCAGTTACAACTATCAATAACACTACTGTACCCGATGGCGCGGACTGTGATCTTGAAAGCCGGAAAGTAGGAATGCGATTTAAATCATCTTCTCCGCACAGCACCACCACCGCAGCGTAACGTAATATCTCTTCCCTCTCCATAATTCTAGAATCTAAACACAACCATCAGTCATCTATCTCATCCCATCTCAAAAGACAACAAACAAAGCAATCAAATCCACTAATCTTCTCCTTCATATCACCGACTAGGATCTCCCCTCAATTCCTGAATCTCCAATCTTCAATCTCCAATCTCTAATCCGTCCGTATCACACGTACCCGGTAAAACCGCGGATTTTCCAGCCCCCATCTTTCCTTTCCACCACGATAACCTGCAGAGTCTATAAGTCTCTGATTACTTCATCGAGTCGAGAGTCGGTGCAATCAATAATCTATGTGGGGCCCTGCGATAGCTACAAGATCGTTTAAGTAACCGGATTCGTCCCATTTCCAGACGATCTCTCCCTTTCCACGAGGAGCAGTGGGTACGAAGAAAGAATTTTCGGTGACGTCCGTCGAGCTAGATGGGAGATTGAATGAGTAGGGTGGGTAGGTCATTTAATCTTCTCATATATATATCTCGTGACGAGTATTCTCGAGTCGAGATTTTTGGTCTTCGTTTCATTTCCTTCGATCTTGCCATTACCTTTCTATTACGCGGAGGACAGGACAAGTCAAGATAGTCAAGATGATTAGTTCAAGAATCGTGTCGGGGCTTCTGGGCCTGGGAAGTTTGGTGTACGGTTCTAGTGCTATGGGATATGGACCTAGTTATGCTGCCAATAATGCTACCAAATATGTTATCATGGACAATGATTGGAGTTCAACTGGCTTTATTCCATTCCTCATCGCTCTCGATGCCGGATGGGAAATCTTAGGTTTAACATCTTGTGCGTATCCTCATCCTCAAATTCATATCTACATTTTCAGCTGACAATTCCTCCAATTCAGGTACCGCAGATACATGGCAACACCAAGTCGCACTACATGCACTAGCAACCCTCTCTCTCGGTAACCTGACGAGCTGTATCCCTGTAGTTCCGGGCTCTACATTCCCGCTTCTCAATACCGCCACGAGATTCCAAGCTTGGGAAGCGGTTCATGGGAAGCTTCCTTGGGAGGGTGTGTATGCTCCGTATAACGCGACGGCGGAAGCAGAAGGAAGCGACCCCACATCAGGAGATAACCCTTTCAGAGTCGTAGAGGGCGCTTTTGTAGAGGGAATGCCAAGTAACTATTCTATCAACGGATTGAAGAAGAGTCAGAGTGCTAGTGCATTTATGATTGAAATGGTGCATAGATATCCAGGACAAGTTTCGATTTGTAAGTTGAAGAGTTTCATTTTCCTTTCAGCGAACATTTAAGGACTCAAAAACACCCCTCTTGATTTACAGGCCCCAGACTAACACCCCACCCAGACGCCGGCGGCTCCATGACCAACATCGCTCTTGCCGTCCGCTCCGACGACAACTTCGCCTCCCTCGCCAAAGAACTCGTCATAATGGGCGGCTACATCGACGACAACCTCCTCCAGGTAACCGGCAGCGTGCTACAAGCCGACCTCAGCTCTGACATCAATCTGATGGTCGATCCCGAAGCCGCCAAAATCGCCTTCACGGCCAACTTCCCCAAAATCACTTTTGCGGGAAATGTCGCGAATCAGGTGATGAGTACCCAGGATTTCTTGGACGAGATCAAGGAGGTTAGTAATCCGTACTCGGAATTGGTGTGGGGACATTATGGGACGGAATTTCCGTTTTGGGATGAGACGGCTGCGGCGATTATGGTGGATGGATCGATTGTGGAGAATTCCACGAGCTGTGAGTTGTTTTGATATTCTACCCCCCCACAACAAAACCCCCCAACTCACCCCCCTCCCCCTAGTCTACATCGACGTCGACACCTCCTACGGCTCCCCCTCCTACGGCAACATCCACGCCTACCAAGAAGCGTTGATGCCGCCTGGCCTACGTAAAGTCGACTACGTTAATCGCATTAATGGCGATACGTTGAAGAGCATGATTAAGAGAGCTGTGCAGTTTCCCAGGAATTGTTCTACTATGGGGAGATAGGTGGATGGATGGACGAATAGATAGATGGATATGACGGAGGTGATGAGTTTGAAAATTACTTTTAGAATTATTTTATTATAGGTAGTGATTAATTGAGAGCCTTGTTATTTTACGAAAGGCATACTACTGAAGTGAGGGAGAATATCACTAGATTAATATCAAACACAAGCCATTCATCAATCAAATTCACAACAAATACCAACTACATCGCAAGTGATAAAACCAACACTTAAGAATAATTATATCTCATCATACTTCTAGCTACGCGACGCAATGCAGTGCTCTAAAAACTATAAACCGACCATCATTCATCAAAATACCAAACAACATGGCTTAAACGAAAGAAATTGTAATAGAGTACAGAGTAAAAGTTGTATCATCCTCTAATCCTCTCTTCATCCCAGATGCCCCATCTCACATGGTCACATAGTCATGTCGAACCCTTCGTTTCAAAAAATGGCTATCATAAACCCAACCTTAAGGTCTTCCCAAAAACTTCAATGCCTCTTCTCTTTCCTCAACTGGCAACATAGACAAGACCTGTCTAATACCAGCCATAGCACCACCACTCAATCCTCCCTTAGCACTAGGTCCACTAGCTCTAAGCAAAGCCGATACCTCAGCAGCTACGCCCTCAACCTTCATTTGTTCAACCTTCTCATGAACAACCTTTCTGTTCTCCTCATACCACATGGCTACACTCTTATCGTCTGTTTGGAATGCTGGAATTGCAGTCCAGGCGGCAAGTTTTCTCAAGTTCTCTGGTCTAGTACCAGTTGGTGATTTAGCGTTGGCGGATAACATGCGCTTGAGGATGTACTCCTCGTTAACACGTCTTCGTACACGCCAGTAGAAAAATCTTCTAGCCTCTCTCCACTTCAATGAATCTCTGATAACACCCTTTGCTTTCATACGTCCAGCACGGTCGTGAAGATCAGCGAATTGAAGCGAGATTTGATTGTAGACAGGGAGTAATGCCTTCTCTCTTTGCTCAACCTTTACCTTGATTTCAGCCAACTTTTCCTGTCCCGCAGCATTGTCGAGCAATTGTTTCTTGAGTTCAGCGTATTCTGGGTCGAGACGGGCCATGGTCTCCAATTGCTTATCTTTACGATATTTGATGTTGACAATACCTTCTGGTTCCAAAACACCACCGCGAGCATCTTCATCAGCGTACATTTCCATGAATTCTGGGTTGATTGTAGGATCAACAACAACCCAAGAACCACCTCTAAGCTCGCCAAATGGTGGAATGTAGACAAAGATTGGTTGCTCGTACTTGACCAAAGCATCAACGATGTAACTTCCATACTTAAGGACTTCGTTGTACATATCACGTTGACCACCAGAGAAACCTCTCCAGTTAGCCAAAATCATCAATGGCAATTGCTCACCATTGTTGAAGTCCTTGATAGCTTGAGCAGTCTTGAAAGCGGAGTTAGGATACCAGACACCACCGGCTTCGTTGGAGATTTGTTCGGTCGAATCTGGGTTTGCTGGATCGGCAGGTGTGATGTTCTCAACTGAGCGGGTCTCGACAGCGATAACACCCATTGGGATACCACCAAGACGAGCACGGCCAACAACAACAGTCTTTGCCCATCCGCCGAGAGTCTCAACGAAGGAGTCCTTGTCGAAGAGACCTGGCATGAATCCTTCGTCATCTTCCTTACCAGCGATGAGGTTTCTAACATCATACGCTTGCTTTTCAGGTGGAGTATAAACAATATCGCGATCCCAAGAGTCAGCAGCAGGTCCGATGGGTAGAGGGCTGTTTCTCTTGTCTGGAACATAGGCCATCCACTCAACAATCTTGGAAACACCCTCGAAGTCATCATTGGCAGTCATGTGAGAGACACCATTCTTGTACATGATTTGGGTACCACCAAGTTGCAAGTTGGAAGTATATACTTCACGACCGAGAAGTTTGTTGATGGCAGGAGCACCAGTGAGGATGATTGGTTGTCCTTCAATTTGAATAGCACGTTGACCAAGACGAACCAAGTATGCACCAATACCAACTGAGCGACAAGTTACCAAAGTGATGGTAAAGATGTCTTCGTAAGCTCTTGAGGTGGCACCGGCAATCAAACCAGAACCCTTCAAACACTCAACACCGAGACCATCTTCAGCACCAACGATAGTGACGATCTTGTGTCTCGTCTCACCATCTTCGACAACCTCCTCGGTAATGACGTCCTTGCTCTTACCATCTTCAAATCTCTTCTTGGCTTCATTATCCAAGTAAAGATATTTGAATCCGGCTTCTTGTCTCTCAGGGTTCTTCCAGGCAACCTTGAAGTAAGGCATAAGCTCTTCAGCCATACCAATACGAGCACCAGAGTTGGCAGAAAGGTAAATACGTGGAATGCCCATCTTTCTTGCAAGTTCGGTACACTTGTGGAAGAATTGATCTTCTTTTGGTCCGAAACTACCGATTCTGAAAGTGATATCGTTGGCGACAATGATGAATTTACGGCCACGAGGATATTCTGGTGTCTTGGCAGTGATAAGCCAACCAACCATACCGTGGGTGTTCGTACCAGGTTCGCGCGAAACCTCAGCAAGACCATCATTGTCATCCAAGACGAGTTCACTGTACTCGATACAGTCACCAGTAGGGGGTTGTTTGTCGGCCAAAGAGGAGTGCTTGCGGACAGCCTTGACCCAACTGTTTTGAATGGCTTGTCTGAAAAGCTCTGGGAAATCGTATACGTATTGAGTACCCATAAGATGAGCCTTGTATCTCTTTGGCTGCAACCATTCCTTGGTTGGGTATGGAGTAGATACTGGTCTCAAGTGCATGGAACCAATCTTGGTGGTACCACCAATACTTTGGAAGACCCATTCGCCACCCTTCTCAGATTTACGCTCAGCGTACATCTCGACCTGGATGACATAACCAGAAGTATTGGTGATGACAACACGAACGGGATATGGCATGCCAGTAGATGGGTCAGTGCAGATAATGCGGATCTCAGCACCAGTGACACGAAGTCTCCAAAGACGTCTACCGAATCGCTCCAAGAAACCACCAAGAGCTTGTTCGATCTCGGGAGGTTGAAGAGGGAAAACAGGAGAGAAGTTGATGAAGATGTGGTTGAGATCAGAGTTGTTGTTTCCAATGATCTCAAGAGCATCCAAGATGTCATTCATCAATCTATCGGACTCAGAGATCAAATACTCAGCAGTAGGAATCTCATCGCGAAGTCTTCCGGGACGAACGACAGCACGAGTGAAGTATCTCTTATCGCTTGTAGCTTCCTTTCCAACAGCCTCATAAATGTGGATGTTTCTGTTTTCAGTGAAAACAGGAGTAATCTTGAACTTAGAAAGTCTTCCCAACTCAAGTTGGAAAGCCAAAGCGGGCTCACTGTGACGAATACTCTCATCTTCCTCGTAGTTGGGGCCTCTGAAAGTGTAGTATCCTGGGTACGAACCATCTTTGTGACCACAGATGAATGTAAGACGACGAATGCGACGGTTGAGAAGTTCCTCCTTATAATCGTTGACGATCAGCTTGATCTTAGCAACAGTCTCATTGTCATCAAGACTCTCGGCATCTTGAATGGCGACATTGCAGACGGCTGTAAGCTCGTCCTCAGTATCAAGGCGGGGAGGTGCAACCTTGCGCTTGCCACCAAGTTCCGGCAAAAGACCGTTGCCCTTCTTCTTAGATCCAGACATAGGGAAGACCTCAAGAGCCCGTTGCAAGTACTCCTCAGCTTCGTCGAGATATTGAACTGGTACAATAACACCCTTCCTTGTTGGTTCATGGTCAGGCTTGTTGGTAAGGTAGGTCATATCACTAATGGAGCTGACACGTTTGAATGGGTTGCCGGATTCATGTGAAGGGGTGGCTGGTGTCGAAGGAGCAGAAGATTGAACTGGCATGCCAAATTCCGAAGCTCCAACCTTTCTCAAGACAAAGTCCCATGAGACGATGAAAGGAGGCTCGGCACTTTCGTTGTGGTACTCAATCTTCTTGAGAGAGTATGCTCTGTAAGCACGACGAATATAAACTTCAAGAGCTGCGAGAGAGACCCAAGGATCACTGTGTCCGAAGAAAATTGGTAAGACGTCAAAGACAGTGTACTTGGAGTCAACAACTTCCTTGAGAACCTCGATATCAGGCTCTCTGTGTTCCCATCCGGTCTCACCATATCTTGATTCAACAACCGAAGATCGAAGGATGTGCTCCATTTGTGCAGCACGTTCCTCCAAGGATGGAAGAGCACATTGGATAAGAATCTCACGTGCCTTCAAGGAAACCTTGGCCGTTTGGCGGGCCTCAAGTTCAGTGAGATTTTTAAGAGAAGGTCTGAGATGCTTAGCAACATCACCGGCGTTGGGCTTGTTTGGTCGATACTCTTCGAGAATGGCGAGGATCAAGTTATTCTTTGCACCGACTCTGCTGTGCGACAAAACGATTTGGATAACCTTGGAAATATCATCCTTGTTCTCGTCTCTGAGCTTAAGAATGACCTCCTCGTCACGCGATGTACGACCAGAAAAGAGACGCTCGACGGCTGCATACTTCTCGAGAAGGCCAGAGAAGACGGCAAATTCGTGAGCCTTTGGTCCGTTTTGGTATCGGTTGAGAATCTCAATCAATGGGGCGATGGAAGCGGTAAGGAGATCAACATCGCCAGGCGCAACATTCTCATCCAAGAACTTTTGAAGAGCCTTTGAAAGGTTCTTGGCTGGGAATTCAGCGTTGCGAGACTTGCCACGATCAAGGATTTGAGTCAAGGTAGCATCCAACTTTTGCGGCATTCTTGCGTGAAGAGCTGAGAATTGAGCATTGAATTCACCGTATGGCAATTCTGGATCTCTAAGAACCTCGATCAACTCCTTCAAAGTAGAACCCATGATGACTTGGTTGTCAAAACCATCAAGAATATTGTTGAGAATGTTACGGAGGAGTACGAAACGTTGCGCAGCCTTGGTACCAACAATTTGTGGTGGTCCAAGATCTGGGAGGTGGCCCAAGAAAGGTTGAGCATGCTTAACTCTCGACGGGTCGTCAAGAGCAAGTATGGCGAGGATATCACCGGCCTCTAGAGTTGCTCCTGGTTGCTTGATGAGTTGTACGATACCATCTTCTCCGGCAATAAGAGGCATGTACATCTTCATGACTTCGACTTCAGCGAATGGCTGACCGGCCTTGATGTGT